CTTTCTTTTCTAAAGGCCTATCGAGCCTAACTTGTGTTCTCCAAATGCTCTGGAGTACGAGCCCATCCCTTGGCGTCAACCTACCACGTGCTGCAGTCTTGAAGGAAACTGGCTCTTCTTTTCCCAACAACTACCAATTGCCAATAGTTCCTCAGCGAGAACTGGGGCTTCTTGCCTGCCTCCCCCATCCATGTTAGGTTTTGCCTGGCTTGGGCTTGTGCAGATACTGTGCCTGCTGTCAGGAGAGCTGTGGGTTCACTGCCTTGCAGTGTGCAAACAGCACAGTTACCTCATACTCATCTACCACCTCTGCCTCTCACAATCTTCACCCTCTCTTCCCCAATGATCCCTAAGCCTTGCACTGCCCACATTCCTACTGGAAATTGAACTTTGCTAAATGAAAATATATGAAGGCAAATAAAAATGCTTTTCTATGAGAATTATCAGTAGAAAGAAATAGCAAAACAAAATCCCCTATTATGTAATCTGACTCTTTGCTTGATGATTTCCTTCATTGTGCAGAAATTTTAAAATTTCTTGCAGTTGTATTTGTTGGTTCTAAGTTTTGTTTCCTGAGCTAGCTATTAGAGTCCTTTTCAGACAATTCTTGCCTCTGTCCATAACTTGAAGTGTTTTTCCTGTTTCACTCTAACCACTTCAGAGTGTCTAAGTCTTCCATTGAGGTCTTAGATCCATTTTGAATTTAGTTTTGCATAGGATGAGAGAAAGGAATGTTTCGTCCTTCTACATGTGGGTATTTGGTTTCAGTCCAGCTTTATTCGTTGGAAGTTGCCCTTTCGCCAATCTATTTTTTTATCTTTGTTCAAAATCATGTGGCTGTGGCTGTGTGGTTTCAATTATGGGTTTTCTATTTTAGTCCATTGATCGTTTCTCAGGATTATTTTGGTTACTTGGGGTCTTTGTGCTTTCATGTGAATTTTAGGATTTTTTTCTATATCTGTGAAGAATGTCATTAAAATGGAGATTGCATTGAGTCTGTAGATTGCTTTTAGCAATGTAGACATTTCCACTAAGTTAATTCTGCCTATCCGTAAGCATGGGAAGTCCTTCCCTCTCCTACTCTCTCTCTCTTTCTCATATATGTGTGTGTATGTGTGCGTGCGCGCGCGCGCGCACACACACACACACACACACACACACAACTGTGTGTGTATATGTGTGTGTGCGCGCGCACACACACACACGAGCATGCACACATCTGTGGAGGCCAGAGAATAACCTTAGCTGTGGTTCCTTATTCATCACCAGCCTCTAGCCTTGTTTTCTGAGACAGGGTTTCTCATTGGCCTGTCGACAAGCTGAGCAACAAGTCCTAGGGATCTGCCTGTCTCTGCCTCCCTTGTGTTAGGATTACACTATGTACCACCATGCTGACTTTTTTTAAACGTGAATTTTGAAGAGATTGAACTCAGGTCTTTATGCTTGCAAAGCAAGCACTTTACCAAGTCTCTCTTAAGAATTTTTATAATGGCAATTCTATGAATATGTATAAACATAAAATTTAGGAACCAAAAAGATTTTCTGTTGTTTAAAGCTAAATTTTCATTATAATATTAGACAATGAAGGGTTTAGGGGAAAATTAAGTTACTCTTCTGGCTCCTGTACAACTTTTGTTGCTTGTTGCTTGTTTGTTTGTTTTTTGGATTCATTAGAGGGGGTATAGGGTCTCACAGTGTAGCCCAGGCTGGCCTGGAACTTGTGATTCTCCTACTTCAACCTCTAGAGTGCCAGACCAGATTGTACCATTCTTTTTAACGATTCCATATGCAAGCTAAATTTTAGTTGTAATGCAATATCACTTGATTTCTAGAAAGTCAACATATTTTTAATAATGTTTTAATTGATTCTTTGAGAATTTTCACACAATGTATTTTGATCATATCAGAATCCCTCCCTGACCCCCTCTCAGACACACTCCACCTCTCTGCACCCCCACTTTATGTCCTCTATTATTTTTTATAAGGCCTATCAATATAATTTGTGTTCCCCAAATATTCTTGGCTGTAGGTGTATCCCTTGAAGCGTGGTCAACCTAACCAGCATCACGCTGTTAGTGAAGACTGACTCTCCCTCTCCCAGCAGCTATCAATTGTCAACAGTTCCCAGGTAGGGGTGGAGCTCTGTGCCACCTCCCACCTCCATGCTGAGATTGTGTCTGGCTTGGGCTTGCACAGGTCTTACATAAATGCTGTCACAACTGTTGTGGGCTCATATGTGCAACTGTCCTGTTATGTCCAGATGACATGGTTTCCTTATATTCATCTACCACTTTCCACTCATTCTTCCACAATTATCCCTGAGCCTCAGGAAGAGAGGGTGTGATAGAGGTGCTCAGTCCTATGGACTGAGCACTCTATAGTGTCTTGTTCTCTGCACATTGACAAGTTGTGGGTCTCTGTGTAAATCACCATCTGCTTCAAAAAGAAGCTTCTCTGGGGAGAGTTGAGGAATGTACTAATCTGTGAGTATAACAACAGTCTTTATGACTCAGTTTATCTATTTAGGAGACTAATAGTATTAGGCTCTCCCCTACATCCTGTGATTTGTCTAGTTACAGGTTCTTGGCCATGATAACAATGCCAGGTATGGATTCCATCTTGTGAAGTTGGCTTTAAACCCAATCATAAAATGGATTTATGTCACCATTGCAGTAGTGGGCATATATTGCCAGGCCAGTCATTATTGTAGTTCACAGAGTTCATAGATGAGTAAGACTGATGATTAATATCTCTTCTGGAAGCATGCATAGCACCTTTCAGCACTATGAAAGCTAGCCAGTAGAGACAAAGCTTTGAGGTCAGTATCGGTTTGATTTTTCCATGTTTGTTCTACAATTCCCATAAACAGTGTCTTCAGCAATGGGGTCTTACTATCAGGTTCTGGTAGGTAAGCAAGAGCAGTGGCAATAGCCAGGGTTGTTTGAGGGCCTGTGGGAATCCTCTTGCCAACAACTCCAACAGAAGAGGGAGCCCATTCCTGACACTGGATTTTTATTCGGTAGCCAGTGGTATCTGGTAGGGGCATCCCCCTCCTCCCATTATGAGGTAACTCCATTTAAACTCTTTCATGTGTGCAAATGTATTTTAAGAAGCTTCTACAATAGCTGGTTTCTATCTGACTCTTTCAAATGGCCCTTGGTGTTAGTTATCTGGCTCCTGTAGCACTTGTGTTGGTAGTGGTGTTGGTTGGTTTGTTTGATTCACTGGTTTTTCCTTTTTGTTTCCTGAGACAGGGTCTCACTATGTAGCCCAGGCTGCCCTTGACCTTGTTAGTCTCTTGCTTCAACCTCCAGAGTGCCAGGCTGTACCATTTTTTAAAATGATGCAGTATGCATGGTGGTTTGGGGTTCCAATGTGCTATCACTTGGTTTTTAGAAAAATCAATAAAATTATAACTTTAGAATTATATTCTTTTCCATCATTTTTTACAGATACAACCCAAAGAATTGTCTGGAAGACAAAACTCAGTTTCACATGTATATTTGGAAGTTGTTTCAAAGCATTTTTCGAAATCAAAAAAAATGCCAATAACATATGACAATGGATTTCTCTTCATCCATACAGACAAACCTGTCTACACTCCACACCAGTCAGGTAGAGTATGAATCAATTCTTTGTGGGAAATTTCACACTCTATTTTGGAACTTTTTGGCACATGAAATTGAATGGTGATGTTTCCACCTTTCTCAAAAACAAAACACCAAAAACAACCTTCAATTCCTAATGACTTTAAAAGAGCATTTTGGTTCTTAGTTTATAAAGAAATGTCTAAATGGATTGCAAGGTCAGTAATTACTTTATCTGAACCATCAATTATCTCTAAGTAGAAGAAAGCTTCCTAACCATTGTAAAATGGTGTTAGCAATTATTTATTACAACAAATAGAAGACTTTGTTGCAAATTTTGGCAAAGGAGAAATCATTTGTTATAGAGCCATGTTCAAAAAGTTTTCGGATTCAGAACTGAACCCTGAAACTGGAAAAGGACATATGCAACATGAGGGACTCGGGTATTGCACCAGAGAATAAGCTAGATCACAGAGATCATGGATTCCAATTTTCAAAGATTATTTACCTAGGAAAATGTCTGTTAAAACACAGTTTCATATGCACAGTTCTTCTGTTGAGGGGAAAGGGAGGAATAGTCGGTCCAAATCCTGCGGTTGAGGAAAGTTTGGATTTCCACAGAAAGTCTGAGTGCTGCTCTTCAAGTTCAAGTGTTTGCAAAAATTTCCAGTTTCTTCATTTCCCGCCCCCCACCCCCGCCATCATTGACTTCAGCACATCAGACATGACGTGTGTGTGGAAGGAGGAAGCAATGAGACCCCATCAATGATGTTGTTGGGGAAGGACAGAGAAAGGGAGGCAGCATGCTTCACTGAAAAACACTGCACTGTGTGCTAAAAGGTGGTTGTGGATCACATAAATAGTGAGGTGGAACGGAGCCAAACCATTGCCACTTCAGTAGGAGCACCTGTTTTGATTGGCTCAGCTGGAAAAGGCTAGCGATATCGTTACCAACTTAGAAAGAACATCACTGCCAGAATAATGCGAGCATTTGACAGTAAAATGATTTGGTGATTGAAAAAGCCAATAGTCTCTATGCAAAAAGATTGTATCTTTTTTAGCTTAATCAGACCTAAAACAAGCATAATCTCATCTAGCCCTCCTCTTATCCTACAGATACGTCATGGATGCTTAGGTCCCATTCTCAATATCTACCACTTGGGGTCATCAGTCACCATCCAATAAGTATGTTGTCTAGTTCACAGGTTATCAAAACCTCCCTTAGGAACGGCCTCATGTTTTTGTTGTTGTTGTTTTGTTTTGTTTTCCTCTGTCAGGATTTTACTGACAAATCAGGTATCCTTGTGTATTCCTGTCACAGAGGGAAATGAGAGGAATTCCTCTAGTCCATTTTGGTGACAAGTAGTAAAATACAGTGGTTAAAAGCAGACTTGTGCTGGAGAGATGGCTCAGCAGTTAAGAGCACTGGCTGCTCTTGCAGAGAAACCAAATTTGGTTCCCAGCATCTATAGGGCTGCTAACAACCATCTGTAACTCCAGTTCCAGGGGATCCAATGCCCTCTTCTGGCCTCTATGGGCATTGCATGCACATGGTGCACTTAACTTGCATGCAGACCAAATACTCATACACATAAAATAAAAATAAATAAATAAATACTCTGGAGCCATATTACCTGAGTTCATATCCGAGAGGGGCTGTGTTGCCTACAGGACGGTATATGAATTGGACTCTCAGAGCCCTTAGTTTCCTCATATGAAAAAAGACAATGATACAATTTACCTCATGGAGCTGTGCCAACACCGATCAAGTAAGTTCATTCATATAAAGCACTTAAAATAGTGCTTACCATATATTTAAGAACTAGGAAGACGTTTTCCATGATATTCTAATCTATAGAACAGCACAAAACCTCATTTATACAAAAGAACAAGAATGACTTTAAAATGACTTTAAATTTTCTTTTGGTTTTTTGAGGCAGGGTCTCCCTGTAGCCACTGCTGGCCTGGAACTCGCTATGTAGACCAGGCTGGCCTCCATCTCACAGAGATCTGGCTACCCAGTTAATCTAAAATTCTTTAAACACTTTAATCTAAGATCTTTAGGATGATAGCATAAGTTTCCAAAGTTGGATAGGATAAAGGACTTAGAATACTGGCCACAACCTTTCATTTCTACATACCCTGTAGTCTGTCATGTTCCCCATGTTTCCCACCTATCACTCTGTCCTTTAGTTATGGACTCAAGCAGAACTAACCCCAATTCCTGTGGTTTCTCTGCCATTTCCCCAACCATATGGGGGCCTGTGCAATGTGCTGTTACCTCTGCTTCATTTATTTTTGCACTTTTTGTCCCTTGGTCACTCTGACTCTATGGTTACATGTGATCACAGGGTCCTGTAAGAGGGGAGCCTGCCATGACCTCCTTCACTGTTCCTAGATCCCTCTTTTTTACATTTTATGTATTATTTTTATTTTATGTGTATAAGTGTATTGCCTGCATGTATGTAAGTGCACCCATGTCATGCAGTGCCTATGGAGGTCAGAAGAGGTGTTGAATTTCCCTAGAACTGGAGTTACTGACGGTCATCAGCAGCCACGGGGGTGCTGGGAATCGAACCTGGGTCCTCTGCAAGAACAGTCACTGCTCTTAACCACTGAGCCATCTCTCCAGTCCCCCATATCCCTCTTCTATTCTAAAAAGCCAGACAAGTGTCCTTTGTAGCACCCCTGGAAATTCACATGTAATTATGTAAATTAGATATAATTCCTCTCTCTTCCACTCCATTAGAACACATCCACTTCTTTTTTTTTTCTGTTGTATTTCAGTGTCTAGCAAAATGATCAGCACATAAAAGGCATTCAACACTTAAAAAAAGTTGTAACTTTGGTATAAAACCTTTATTGATCTTGCCCCTTATACACTACTGCAATGAAGACAAGATTAATATTTTAATTAAAAAACAAACTGGAAAGCCAGGCATGATGGTGCATGCTTTTAATCCCAGCACTTGGGAGGGAGGCAGAGGTAGGAGGATCTCTGTGAGTTCAAGGCCAGCCTGGTCTACATAGCGAGTTCGAGACCAGCTGGGGATACAGAGAGACCCTGTCTCAAAAAAAAAATCTACCAGATAGCTAGTAATCACAGAAATAATAGTAATA